TTTTGAGCCCTACACTTTTGGCATAATATTTCTCACTCTGCTGTGTTCTTATAGCTATTACCCTTTCAGGTGACGAGATATAAGGGAATCCATAACCCCACAAAATGGAACATGCATATGGACTGATGTTGAATCACTATTTTACCTTTCTCTTTTTTTATATTTCTGCTCCCTTTTGTTTCTATTCGGGGCTGGTCACTGAATAATAAAATAATGAAAGCCCTAGAAATTTATTTCCTCTTTCTTAAATAATAAAATGAAATAAAATTTCTGTTTACTTATTTTTATTTTCGCTTGTGCAGCTTAATTTGCTTCAAATAAGAATAAGTTAGTAAGTTGCGATTCCAACCCTAAGCCCCTGGAGTTGGGTTGTGACATATTCAATTCACATCCAACATCTGTATAAAAAAAAATAAAAAAAAATTATGAGACATCCAAATTTCAAAATCTCCTACCAAATATTCCAAAACCTATATCAACCATTCTAAATCATCCAAACAAAATTCTAAAAACCTTTAATTTCAATTCTCAAAACACCTTCAATTTCATTTCTCAAAACGAAAACTACAAAGTGGATCCCCATCTCAATTTTGTGGAGGCGGTTGGGAATAAATAGAAAAATCAAAAGAACTCTCATTTCTAAATTCGGTCTCCATTGGATTGTGCCCTGCTAGATTAAGTGATATTCCCTATAAAAAAAGAAAAGAAAAGAAAAATTCATTAGAATAAATTTTATGGACTAAATTACATTACAAACATATGTATATTACTTACTTGAGAACTTTGTGGACTATGTGATGCTTGGAAAGACAGAGGTTGTGATTGTGGATACCTTGGTGAGTATGAATTAGTATCACGTGTGGGAAGATTATACCCATAATTCATCAATTGTAACCAATAGAGACTCCTAACATCCTACTCCATAAAACACTGTGAAAAGTAAATACACTAGTACAATGTAGTCTAAAAAATAAACAAATAACATAAAACAAGAGCTAACCTGTGGTTGGCTTAAAGATGAATTTTGAACATTTGTGATATTGCTTGATTGACCAATAGTCTAAATAAGTTGTAAAATTTATCAATACATTATACAATTTATATAAAAAATAATAATAAATAAATAAATAACATAAATAATAATAAATAAATAACATAAAAAAATAGCTAACTTGTGGTTGGCTTAAAGATGAATTTTGAACATTTGCAGTGTTGCTTGATTGACCAATAGTCTAAAGAAGTTCAAAAAGTTATCAATACTTTACACAATTTATAAAAATAAATGCATGTCATTTGAAATTTCCAAAGTACGTAGGTAATACCTTACTAAGGCGGGTAGGTTGTGAAATAACTTTTGTTTTATTATTTGTCATCTCATGCCAAGGTTTTAATCTACCCCTCCCTTTGTAGTCTAAAGAAGTTTAAAAAGTTTTCAATACTTTACACAATTTATAAAAATAAATGCATGTCATTTGAAATTTCAAAAGTACGTAGGTAATACCTTACTAAGGCGGGTAGGTTGTGAAATAACTTTTGTTTTATTATTTGTACCCCTCCCTTTGTGTCCAACATCTTTCTTCTTTATGCCCTTAACTTGTGCAAAGTTGGGGTCATCCACATCTAATTCGTTGGTACCAAAATTTCCAACTCCCTTCATCATATTATTTACTTTTACACACAATTCCTTAATCCCTTCATCAACCAATTGATAGGCAGGTTTGTGCATAGATGCTTAAGTTGCTAGTTTCACCATTCTTGGACAAAGATCTCTATAACTTTCTAATATTAACAACTTCGGATCATCCTCATCCACTATAACATTTTTAATTTTCATAACATTCATTCTATCAAGTGCTTTGATTGCATGACTACATAAAATTCTAAAGCTTCCAAATTTCTTACAAGTACAATTAATATATTTCTCGACAACCTTTTTCTCCTCTTAGCCTAGTAACTTCCACCTAACCCTCCACAATATACTCTGCATAATGATACAAGCCAATCACGCACTTAACTTATACTTCTAACTCATGGAATTACTTCACTTGACAACAAATGGACATATCCAACTCATAATGAAATAAGTCAAAGATAAAAAGGGTGTACAAACTCGCAACCTGAATTAAAATGGGAGACTTTTTCAATTTCATTCTTGGCACCTTTTGTCTAGAGTCATTTACTGCAGAAACTTCCTCATACCGCTTATCTACAACAATTCGATTGAAGTGAGTAAAGAATTAAAAAAATGTTATGATCGGCTTTCAAATATCCCCTTAATGTTCCGTTTAGACTTTCACCAAGTTGTGTGCTTCGTATTCCTCCAGTAAATACCCACTTCATACACACATGCGCCCACTGCTCTATTTTTCTCCAAGTTCTTTTCATCCACTCATTCTCTTGCAAGTTGTATTTATCAATCACAGAATTTCAAGCTTCAATTAATTCATGCTCATTCTCGTAGTCATAAATGCAAGCTTTTAAATCGCTACTAAATTTTGAACCACTCTTGAATAAGTAACCCAAATGATTCAAAGCATTTTGCACTAGGTGAAAAGTGCATAGCCCGTGAAAAACCTGAGGCTTGATTTGCGAAATTGCCTTAGCCATTACTTGATCTTGGTCTGTGAAAAAATTAACATGCTTTTTTCCCGACATTGCATCCAAAAAAGTTTCAAATAACCATTCAAATGATACACCAATAATGCTACACCAAAAATAACTATCATTCTAAAGTGGTTAAAGCCAGAAAAAAAAAAAAAAAGCAAGTGGACGGTACTCCTTATTTGTTCAAAAAGTTGTGTCAAATGACATCGCATTTGCGACAAACCCATAATCTGTTATCATCTGATGATCAGCGCAAAAAATATTAGTAATCATCTCATCTACATCCAACTGAATGGCATAGTAAAAATATGGATTTTCTGCCACTTGTTGCTGGAAATATCTTAACAAACTCCCTACTTCACCTTACTGCAAGTTTTGCTGTCATTTTGGACATAAGTAGGTTTTTTGATCCTCCCGCATGAACCCTACAAATTCCTTCCCTCCTGCTATAGCACTAATAAGATCATGTGAAGCCTTAAGAAATATTCCAGTCTCATCAGCTGTATCAATATTTATACCCTGAGCATCACATACCTTTCTCTGAGATGGCATCAAATGAGTACATTAAGGAAGATGCAAATGGTGGTTGTGGTTGTTATCAAACTTTGACACAATCCACTTCAACAAGTCCCACTTAAAAGATATATGCATGAATGCTTTACAATTTGTTCTTGTCTCACTTTGAGGATTTTTTATCATTGTGTACTGTTTATCTTTTTCCCTCTCTCCCTCTCTACAACAACAATCTTTCTACTAGTCATAATGCCATCTTTCTTGCTTTTGTTACAATAATCTCTTATAATACTAAATCCCACAATTCTTCCGTATTCATTATAAAGCTCATATGCAGCTTCTTCTGATAGAAACTGCATACCAAGATACGGTGATTTATCCTTGGCCAACTCTCCCATTTCTTCGATGCATCCCTCAAGTCCACCATCATCCATTATACCATCCTCCATTTCAACACTAACAAATATGAAGAAAAAAAATTTAACGAAACAATAATCTGAGCAAAAAAGTTATTAATTAATTTTAAATGCTGAGTAATTAAACAATTCAATGAAATCTAATAAATCAATTAATAATGTGAATTAGTTAAAAGGATAGGGAAGGGGAAAAAAAAGATTTGTAATTTGAACAGTGACATTGGAAATTTATTGTGTCTAAGTAGATTATAATATACAATTGCAAAATTATATTAGAATTAGTATATTATATAATATAGGAAATCTTTTGGCAGACACGCTCGCCCTTTTATTATATAAATTTTTGATATATGTTTCGTATTTTTGACACAAATGTTATGTCATTTTTTATTATGACAATTTATGATTAAAAAATTAAATTCGCATTTTATAGTAAGGTTATACATTTTTTTATTGAAACTTTTTTTAGACCATAAAATGCATAACATTATTACAAAAATACATAACATTGTTATAAAAGTGTGTAATATTTCCACAAAAAATACATAAAATTGCTATAAAAAAATTATGAATTACAAATTATCGTAACTCCTTAAAAAAATTATATAATATTTATACAAAAATACATAACATGTACAAAACAAATTACATAATAAAGAAATTTTCTTATAATATACAATTGTGTTTCTCAATCCATTCACAAAAAACAAACCAAACTATTATACTTGTTCAACCCACTAACATACTGTACAAAACAAAATACAAAACATATATACATATAATATATATAGATATACATACCAGTTTGTTGAACAATAATGGTCTGTAAATCCAGCAGAAGAACGGTGAAGCAAAAATAAAGAACACTGTTCAATCTGTTTGAGAGAAGACAAAAATGTTAGAAAATAAAAAAATAAAAAATAAAAACTAACTTTTAGAAAATAAAAAAATAAAAACTAAGGGTATGTTTGGTTTGTATTTGAGAGATGTGTTTTAGAGATAAAAAGTACGAAAAGTTGTTTGGTTTGGTTTTTTTCAAAAGATGTTTTGCAAAATTATTTTGAGAGAGAGTTTTGAAAAAAGTGATTGATTTGATGTGTGTGAGAGAGAGATTTGTTTAGAAAACTTGTTTGGTTTACAAGTTTTGAAAAAAAAATTTGGAAAAATTTGTTTGGTTTCATTACTTTTAAAAACTTATTTGTAGAGAAAATTTTCCAAAAATTTTTCCGAAATTTTTCCGAAATTCAAACTAATTTTTTTTAGTTTATATTTTAACCAAATAACCAAAAAATTATTAAATTAATCTATTCCCAAACAAGACAATTTATTAGAGCATTAATCAAATAGGTTGACAGCAATGCCTTTATTATTAAAATGATGAGTACTTTAGATTATATGCATTTTGCTCATTAAAGTTTTACTACAATTAAACTAGTTCTTCCTCCATTTTGCTGTTTTAGGATAATAATGACTGATCGTCGGATTTATAGAAAGGATCAAATTAGTGAGCTGCCAAGAAATATCATAGAAGGTATCCTTGAGCGGATGTCCATAAGAGATGCAGCAAGAACAAGCATCTTGTCAACCAAGTGGAGGAGTATTTGGACTACAATTTCGCAACTCAAGCTTGGTAATCAGTTTTTCAAAGACACCCTCAAGGTTAAACCAATAGTCAAACATGAACTTGTGAGTGTAGTTGAGAAAATTCTCTTGCTTCATGACAGCCCCATACCGATGTTTCTTTTCTGCATTCCAAGAATACAATTTGATTGCAGTGCAGATATTGATCGTTGGATTCTTTTCCTTTCGAGGAATGGTATCAAGGACTTAACTCTTGTTAATAATTCAGATAATGAACCCTTTTGCATTCCTGTATCTACTCTTGTCCTGAGTTGACTCGTCTAGAGCTTGTCAATGCTATATTCAAAGCACCACGCGAATCAAGTGGCTTTCATAATCTCATTAGCCTTCATTTTAAAAAAATCGCATTTGCGCACAACATTCTGAGGACGCTTTTTTCCATGTCCCCACTGCTTCAGAGATTGACCATCAAACATTGCACTGGTATTGGCAATCTCAATATCCAAGCTCCAAAGCTCAAAAGGCTACGTGTACAACTCAATAGTGAGATACAATCAATATGTTTTACGAACACCCAAAATCTGAGTTACGTCGCTATCATATTTGGTTTAACAATGGGAAGTCCCAAGAGTGTTAAAACACCCAATGTGGTTAGGTTTCTTGGTGACTTCCCTAGAATTGCAGAGCTAAATTTGGATGGCTTTTTTATTAAGGTGAGACATTGGTTTTATAATTTTATCTGGTTTATTTATTTCAAAACATGTAGCTTGACAATGTCCTTATACAATTTGTTGCCATTTGCATCAAAGATTTTGGCTGCAGGTGGATTTCCCCATAAGCTTCCGACCACAGCTAACCTTTTGAAGGTACTTGCATTACATAATTTTCAGTTTAATGACTTGGATCATATTTCATGCGCGCTTTGTCTGATTAGAAGCTGCCCCAACTTGACGAAACTTCAGATTTGGGTAAGAATGTTGAATCTAGAAACTTGGTATGTTATCTTTAAAAATTTCAAACTAATTGGTTTTGCATATTGGTATTATCTTCACAGACTTGCATAATAATGGAGAGGAACGATGAAGAACTGGTTCTAAATCGTCTGGAAGCGCCAAACTGCATGGATTGAATGCTGGACAAACTTCAATCTGTGAAGATAAGTTATGTCATGGGTTTGAAGCCTGAACTTCTTTTCATCAAGCTTCTGTTAGCCCGCTCACCAATGCTAGAAGCAATATTCATTCAGCACAGTGCAGAAGTTGATTTCGAAAAAGGGTTCAATATCTCAAAAGAGTTGGCATGGTTTCCTCGGGTGTCACCAAAAGCAGCAATAATATACTAGATAGCGATCACGCTGACATAGATGTTTGTTTTTCCCTTTCTTCTAGATCTGGTATTTAATCATATAAAAGTTCGTAGAGATTTGATGAGCACTAGCTGAAACAAATTGAAACTGTAAATGTCTATTTTTTCTCCTCTGGTTTGTGTGTAGTTTAAAGTTTTATTTATGTTTAGTGGAAGAGCAAGTCTTTTTCCTATGGTATGGTTAAAGATCCTCATTGCAATGGCTTTGGAGGAATGGATTAAAAACCCTGCCTTTTCTGTTAAGTGGTGTTTACCAACTTACCACATGGGCATGCCAATCCTTTTCCGTGTACAGTCTATTGTGTTTGGTTGGATGCGAATAGGGAAGGAAAAGTTGCATAGTGTAGACTCGAACCCACATATTTCACCTTGTTTTGCTCAACTTTCAAAAATGAGAAAACTTTAGTTGGAAGTAAAATTATTTTTAATTTGTATGCTGATTGAGAAATTCACATTTTTTAATCTATATTTATCGATTCTTGCAAATTTACAAAAGAAGATAGACGAAAGAAAAAAATTGAAAAATTAATTTCTGATACAATCATCAACATGCTGAAAGGAGGATGAACTGATTAAAAATGAAGAATGGGTCTTAGCCTCTACAGTTTTTAGTTAGTTACTTGTTAATTCATTGTGTACTAATGTACCCATATAATTAATTCAAAGGCTTGTTGTGCATTAGATTGAGCATTTTGTTTCTTGAAATTGTTAAACAGTTACATGCTGGAATAAACCAAAGTTAAAAGACTGTCTATACTAATTGCAAGCAATTGAACCCTTGGTGAATGAGTTGAGGTAGATTTGTTCATGAATTTACTCCAGTTGTTTCCACAGCTCTAGCAAGAGAGAGGTAACATCTAATAACAGTTTCTTATTCATTACCTTCATTTCCCCTTTTGTTGTGTTTGGATCTATTACCTTCATTTCCCCTTTTGTTGTGTTTGGATTGGATCTTGAGTTTGTGAATGGATTTACGGAAAGAAAAAAAAGGGGGGGAAAGGATTTATGAATAAAAAATCTATTTCACTCACTTTTCCATTCATTTTTTTCCCCTCGACAAATCCAAACACGAGAATTACTTCCCAAAAAACCAATACCTTTAGCAAGAGTATATGTCAATATAGAAAATTGTCTCCAAAATGATTTCACTCTTTTAACAAAATATTTTTTGATTTTTTTGATTTAATTAATTTAAATCCTAATCTTTTGTTTCATTTTCAATCTAAATATTTGTATATTTTCATTAAAAAAAATCAATATAAAATTTTATATTTTAGTCATTAAACTCAACGAAAAGGTTATTTTTGATATTTTAAATACACTCACATTGATTTTAATGAGTAAAATACTCTTTTTTATTGATTTTACTTGACGAAAATAGATGAATGATTTAAATTGAAATTAATCAAAAAAATTAAAATTAAAATTTTTTTTTGTTATAATGTCAAATTTTAAGTTTTTTTTGTTTTAATTTTTTTTTTTTTGCACTTATCTGGTTTATTTATTTCAAAACATGTAGCTTGACAATGTCCTTATACAATTTGTTGCCATTTGCATCAAAGATTTTGGCTGCAGGTGGAGTTCCCCATAGGCTTCCGACCACAGCTAACCTTTTGAAGGTACTTGCATTACATAATTTTCAGTTTAATGACTTGGATCATATTTCATGCGCGCTTTGTCTGATTAGAAGCTGCCCCAACATGATGAAACTTCAGATTTGGGTAAGAATGTTGAATCTAGAAACTTGGTATGTTATCTTTAAAAATTTCAGACTAATTGGTTTTGCATAATGGTATTATCTTCACAGACTTGCATAATAATGGTGAGGAACGATGAAGAACTGGTTCTAAATCGTCTGGAAGCGCCAAACTGCATGGATCGAATGCTGGACAAACTTCAATCTGTGAAGATAAGTTATGTCATGGGTTTGAAGCCTGAACTTCTTTTCATCAAGCTTCTGTTAGCCCGCTCACCAATTCTAGAAGCAATATTCATTCAGCACAGTGTAGAAGTTGATTTCGAAAAAGGGTTCGGTATCTCAAAAGAGTTGGCACGGTTTCCTCGGGTGTCACCAAAAGCAGCAATAATATACTAGATAGCGATCACGCTGACATAGATGTTTGTTTTTCCCTTTCTTCTAGATCTGGTATTTGATCATATAAAAGTTCGTAGAGATTTGATGAGCACTAGCTGAAACAAATTGAAACTGTAAATATCTATTTTATTACTTACATGAGAACTTTATGGACTATTTGATGCTTGGAAAGACAGAGGTTGTGATTGTGGATACCTTGGTGAGTATGAATTAGTATCACGTGTGAGAAGATTATACCCATAATTTATTAATTGTGGCCAGTAGAGACTCCCAACATCCTACTCCATAAAACACCATGAAAAGTAAACACACTAGTACAACGTGGTCTAAAAAATAAACAAATAACATAAAACAAGAGCCAACATGTGGTTGGCTTAAAGATGAATTTTGAATATTTGTGATATTGCTTGATTGACCAATAGTCTAAATAAGTTGTAAAATTTATCAATACATTACACAATTTATAAAAAAAAAATAATAATAAATAAATAACATAAAACAATAGCTAACCTATGGTTGGCTTGAAGATGAATTTTGAACATTTGTAGTGTTGCTTGATTGACTAATAATTTAAAGAAGTTCAAAAAGTTATCAATACTTTACACAATTTATAAAAATAAATGCTTGTCATTTGAAATTTCGAAAGTACGTACGTAATACCATACTAAGGCGGGTAGGTTGTGAAATAACTTTTTTCTTCTTATTCATCATCTCATGCCAAGGTTTTAATCTACCTCTCTCTTTGTGTCCAACATCTTTTTTCTTTATGCCCTTAACTCGTGCAAAGTTGAGGTCATCCACATCTAATTCTTCGGTACCAAAATTTCCAATTCCCTTCATCATATTATTCACTTTTACACATAATTCCTTAATCCCTTCATTAACCAATTGATAGGCAGGTTTGTGCACAGATGCTTGAGTTGCTAGTTTCACCATTCTTGGACAAAGATCTCTATAACGTGCTAATATTAACAACTTTGGATCATCCTCATCCATTATAACATTTTCCTCTTCAACTTCACAATCTTTTGCATCCAATCTCCATCGGCCTAATATATACCTTTCGGGAATTTCCATAACATTCATTCTATCAAGTGCTTTGATTGCATGACTACATAAAATTCCAAAGTTCTCAAATTTCTTACAAGTACAATGTATTTTTCGATATCTTTTTTCTCCTCTTAGCCCAATAACTTCCACCCTACCATCCACAATATACTCTTCATCATTACCATACAAGCCAATCACGCACTTAACTTCTCCTTCTAACTCATGGAATTGCTTCACTTGACAACAAAGGGACGTATCCAACTCATAATGAAATAAGTCAAAGATAGGAGGGTGTACAAACTCGCAACCTGGATTAAAATGGGAGACTTTTTCAATTTCATTCTTGGCAACTTTTGTCTAGAATCATATATTGCAGAAATTTCCTCATACCGCTTATCTACAACAATCCGATTGAAGTAAGTAAAGAATTGAACAATGTTATGATCACCTTTCAAACATCTCCTTAATGTTTCATTTAGACTTTCACTAAGTTGTGTGCTTCGCATTCCTCTAATAAATACCCACTTCATATACACACGCGCCCACTGCTCTCTTTTTCTCCAAGTTCTTTTCATCCACTCATTCTCTTCCAAGTTGTATTTATCAATCAAAGAATTCCAAGCTTTAATTAATTCATGCTCATTCTTGTAGTCATAAATGCAAGCTTTTAAATCGCTACTAAATTTTGAACCACTTTTGAACAAGTAACCTAAATGCTTCAAAGCATTTTGCATTAGGTGAAAAGTGCACAACCCATGAAAAACCTCAGGCATGATTTGTGAAATTGCCTTAGCCATTGTTTGATCTTGGTTTGTGAAAAAACTAATTGGCTTTTTTCCCGACATTGCATCTAAAAAAGTTTCAAATAACCATTCAAATGACTCTGCAGTTTCATTATACAATAATGCTGCACCAAAATCACTGTCATTCTAAAGTGGTTAAAGCCAGAAAATAAAGCAAGTGGACGGTACTCCGTATTTGTTCAAAAAGTTGTGTCGAATGACACAGCATTACGTAAAAGTCCATAATCTATTATCATCTGATGATCAGCCCAAAAAATATTAGTAATCATCTTATCTACATCCAACTGAATGGCATAGTAAAAATATGAATTTTCTGCCACTTGTTGCTGGAAATATCTTAACAAACTCCCTACTTCACTATACTACAAGTTTCGCTATCTTTTTGCACGTAAGTAGGTTTTTTTATCCTTCCAAGCGAACTCTACAAATTCCTTCCCTCCTGCTATAGCACTAATAAGATCATGTGAAGCCTTAAGAGATATTCCAGTCTCATCAGCTATATCAATATTTATACCCTGAACATCACGTACCTTTCTCTGAGATGGCATCAAATGAGTACATTGAGGAAGGTGCAACAGGTGGTTGTGGTTGTTATCAAACTTTGACATAATCCACTTCGACAAGTTCCGCTTAAAAGATATATGCATGACTGAATTACAATTTGTTCTTGTCTCACTTCGAGGATTTTTTATCACCGTGTACCGTTTATCTTTTTCCCTCTCTCCCTCCTTACAACAAACAAATTTTCTACCACAATCCACTTCGACAAGTCCCGCTTAAAAGATATATGCATGAATGCATTACAATTTGTTCTTGTCTCACTTCGAGGATTTTTTTTATCACCGTGTACCGTTTATCTTTTTCCCTCTCTCCCTCCTTATAACAAACAAACTTTCTACTAGTCATAACACCATTTTTCTTGCTTTTGTTACAATAATCTCTTATAATACTAAACCTCACAATTCTTCCGAATTCATTATAAAACTCATATGCAGCTTCTTCTGATGGAAACTCCATACTAAGATATGGTGATTTATCCTTGGCCAACTTTCCCAATTCTTCGATGCATCCCTCAAGTCCACCATCATCCATTATACCATCCTCCATTTCAACACTAACAAATATGGAAAAAAAAATTAAACGAAACAAGAATATGAGCAAACAAGTTATTAATTAATTTTAAATGTTGAGTAATTATAACCAATTCAATGAAATCTAATAAATCAATTAATAATGCAAATTAATTAAAAGGATAGGGGAGAGGAAAAAAAGATGTGTAATTTGTATAGTAGCATTGGAAATTTATTGTGTCTAAGTAGGTTATAATATACAATTGCAAAATTATATTAGAATTAGTATATTATATAATATAGGGAATCTTTTGGCAGACACGCTTAAAGATGTGAATCATATGCACTCTTATTATATAATTTTTTGATATATGTTTCGTATTTTTATCACAAATGTTATGTCATTTTAATTGAGTTATGACAATTTATGATTAAAAAATTAAATTCGTATGTTGTAGTAAGGTTAAACTTTTTTTTTTATTGAAACTTTTTTTAGACCATAAAATGCACAACATTATTACAAAAATACATAACATTGTTATTAAAAAAAATTATGAATTACAAATTATCGTAACTCTTTAAAAAAATTATATAATATTTATACAAAAATACATAACATGTACAAAACAAATTACATAATAAAGAAATTTTCTTATAATATATAATTGTGTTTCTCAATCTATTCACAAAAAACAAACCAAACCATTATACTTGTTGAACCATTATACTAACACACTGTACAAAATAAAATACAAACATATATACATATATACATATATACATATCTACATATATATATATACACACATACCAGTTTGTTAAACAATAATGGTCTGTAAATCCGAAAGAAGGACGGTGAAGCAAAGACAAAGAACACTGTTCAATCCATTTGAGAGAAGAAAAAAATGTATAAAAAAAATAAACAAATAACTAATTTTTCTACTCCATGTAAAGCAGAAACCTTTGCTTGGGACAGAGAAAATGTAAAGCAGAGACCATTGCTTGACGGCAGCAGTTAGATATTATAATAAAATAATAATTATTGAAACCCTTAAAAAAAAAAGAGTAGAAAAAGGGTGCCGTTTCGTTGGCACAGTAGGAACTGTGGCACAGCAGGGACCCCGCATCCTGAAAGAATATTGAAGTGCAAGTCAATTTTTCAATTTTTACCTATTACGTCATTTGAAAAGATTTTGAGAAAAAATTTATATGTATGAATTATTTTTCTTTTTACACAAGTACACTGAAATGTAATATCCCAAAAAAAAAAAAAGGTAATACAGAACCCCAAAACATCTCCCTTTCAAGAAATTATTCAATGCTTTCAATGCTCATGAAGTAAGTTTAGGTGATATTTCAAATCAATAGTTATTATTTTGAGAAATTTAGTCTAACATCCCTCTCTAATTTTTAATAATAGGAGAGATCCATAATATTTTTATTTGTAGTCTAAGGTCACTCACACACACCCATATATCACACCTACTCTCTCATTATCTCTCCCACTCAGGCGCCTCAATTCAAGTTTTCTGAAGTTGAGAATCATTTCGTTCCTCATCGTTAGGTAATAATTGCTACTCAAAAGTCTCTTCAAACTCATCAATTCACTCATACTTAATCTTGCTAATCCCAATTCTCTGCACCACTGCATTCCTAATTGTCTATGCTTGCAAGCACAACCCATTTTGTTCAGTCCCAGACATATGGCTCCTCACTTCATCTTTGTTCATCTCTTTCATCACAACCAAAAATTCTTGGTTGAAGAATAGCTCGTTTAGTAATGGAGGTTTGGTGATTTTAGGGGTTTTTGAGTGCGGATATGATGGATGGGTTGTATACATACATACATACATACATATATATATATATATATGAATATAATTTCTCTATGAGTTTATTTCTGTTCAATTTTTTTTTGGTTTAATAAAAATACAGAGAAAATTATGAGTAAATCAAAGAAAATTGGTTAAAACACAGAGACATTTCAATCCAGAGAAATTTCAAAACCCAGAGAAAATCAGAGAAATTGAGCAAACACTGGAATCAATTTTCTCTGGTTTAAAATTGTGAACAAACACAGAGAAATTTCAGAAATTTCTCTAGTTTAGTTAAAATTTCTTTGGTTTGGTTAAAACAATTTTCTTTAGTTTAAAATCACTGTGCTAAAATTTCTCTGGTTTGGTTAAAACAATTTTCTCTGGTTTAAAATTGTGAACAAACACAGAGAAATTTCAGAAATTTCTCTAGTTTAGTTAAAATTTCTTTGGTTTGGTTAAAACAATTTTCTTTAGTTTAAAATCACTGTGCTAAAATTTCTCTGGTTTGGTTAAAACAATTTTCTCTGGTTTAAAATTGTGAACAAACACAAAGAAATTTGTGAACAAAGATGTTTGGTTCATTTTTTAGAACTTGTCTTTTGAAATTTTTATTTTATTTTTTTTATGTTTGGTTGCTTCAGTTTCTCTATTAATTTGTTTGCTTGCTCAGATATTGGAAGAAAAAAAAAACAGAAAATGTGATTTTGAATTTAAAAATTTCAAGCACTTTCGTTAGGCTTCTGATCCAGCCCCACCGCATAAGCTTATGCACTACCAAACTCTAAACACATATTTTTTTCTTCTTTTCTCTTCTTTTTAAAAAAGGAAAGGGGAGAGGGGATATATTGTAGCGACCCTAATTTTCTTTAGTCATTATTTATTATTATTATGGTTATTATTATCTTATTTTATTTTTGTCTTTATTAATTGTGTGGTCACATGAGAGTTAATGTGATATTTAATGGATTTAATGTTGTAATTATTAATTGAGTGGTTACATGAGATTTAATGTGATATTTAATGGATGTAATGTTGTACTTATTAATTGGGTGGTTACATAAGGTTTAATGTGATATCTAATGCAACAAAGAAGTATTCAATTAGGTTATTATATATATAATAAGGTTTAGGAGATCAAAAGAAAAGGGAGAGACCAAGTTGTGAGAGAGAGAGAGAGTGAGAAATCAAAGAAGACAAAGAGAGGGACGGCGGCAAGGAAGAAAGAGGAGAGGGAAGAAAAGGAAAGATTAGAGTTTTGCTTTGGTGGTTTTATTAGTTTTCAAATATTTCTTGGATCTTCAAAAAAAATATTGTAAGTACAAAACCCACTTCCCTTGATTTATGTTTAATTCGTTGTTTTTATTTATTTATTTTTTTATTTGTTTGATGTTAGTTTGATTTTGTTTTTACATGAAGATGATAGATTAATTTTAATTATTTTGATTAGTTGTTATGTCAGATTTAGGGTTTTTATATGGATTTATTTTATGGTTGTAATCACTTTCATGGTTATATGAAACTAAAATTAATATGGTTATATGACATGAAAATTAATTAAGAACCCATAGATAAATTCCTTATACTCCACCATGACTCCATGGATTGTTGTTTTATTTGAGTGATGGGGATAAAGAGTGTATAAAAAAGTGAGGATTATGAGAGTTGTTTAATGCCTTATGCCCGGCATTGTTATATTTGTCTCATGATGTTGATGAGATGTTATTTATATTGTTGTCTCGTTCTGATGAGTAGACGAGTGCTTTGATTTACGCGCGTACGTATATGCTAACCATCCGGGGAGTGTAAGTCAAACTCGGGACGATATCCCCGTGCAAGTTTGGCTTCGGAGCGGTGTTAGATATACGGGAGGCACATGGGATATATGTGTAGGCCAGAAGTGGAGGGCTGAAGTGGTGGAGTTAAGAAACAAAGAATTTAATTATGAGTTTATTGATATAGTGTGAATTGTATTGATTTGTACATGTTGATAAATAGTAAACGATTTCAATAAATTATGAGATTTGAGTAGAGGCATGCATACGTGATTTTAGACAACTTTTGTGTTGTAGTTTTTTATTAAAAAGATCGATTAGAACTTATAATCGGATGACCTTGGTTATTGTCGGTTTGATTCATTTTGATAATGCAAATTTTATAGGCTGTTTTAACCCACGAGCTCATTTTTATTGGTTTCGCGTAAATTGAAGTAAAACATTATTCTGCGCACTTTTCATGTTTTGAACATTTCCGAAAGAAAAATCACCTTAAGGAAGTTTTTGTTCATCTTCAACTTCAGATTAAATCACCTTAGGGAAGTTTTTGTTCATCTTCAGCTTCAGATTTTTTGATTGAATTCCATTTAGGTTTTTCTATCAAGTTTGTCTCTCAACCTGTTCAGTTTCTGTTAAATTTGTTTGCGTTGTCTTTTTAGAAATTTAATTCTATACAACTTTTGTTCTTTGAGTCTTGGTCAATTTGAATTATTTAAGCATGAAATGGTGCATTTTTATACTTCTTTAGCAAATTACTTATGATTAAATTATACTAACTTTGTTTTGCAGGATGGTGGGTCTTACTAACTTTTTATGCAGGGCTGACCCACCATATTTTTAATTATATTTTGTTTATTTATAATCAATTTATATTTAGTTGTGTACGGGCAAGAAACTAAATGCCACCGTATCTCGGGAAACTACCCATTCGTCTCAGTGCGGTTGGAACTACTTGTCTTGTCCCGTAACAAGAATTAACTATATTGTTGTTTGTGTCTGATGGGCACGTGGGTATCAATTCTTGTACTCATACCAGTATACCTGTATACTGACCTGTTTTGTCTCTTGGCAACTCGGGTGCGTTCTGTTTGAGCGCAGCCGAGCTTCCTTTGCAGGATTTGTTGAGGTTATGGTCTTGTCTTGTCCCGTAACAAGAATTAACTATATTGTTGTTTGTGTCTGATGGGCACGTGGGTATCAATTCTTGTACTCATACCAGTATACCTGTATACTGACCCGTTTTGTCTCTTGGCAACTCGGGTGCGTTCTGTTTGAGCGCAGCCGAGCTTCCTTTGCAGGATTAGTTGAGGCCATGGTGGTGACGTGGAATTACTTTAGTTGTTGAACTTGTCATTTAGATTTCTTTTGTTTTCTTGAGCTTAGGGTTGATATTAGTTTATGTATTTATTATTTTTTTATGACTTTAGTATTGGAATAATTTGGCATGGTTTGTAACCATACTTTATTTAAGATTGTTTTGACTATTTATTGTTACCTTGATGTTGAGGTATTGGTTAGTTATGAATTTATGGTGAATGGTTTGGTTTGCGTTTAGTTTTTGTGTTTCACCCCTAGGATTTGGATGATGGAATATTGATTGAGGTTAGTCTTAATATAATATTTAATTATCCGAATTTTGGGGCGTGACATATATCGTGCTTCCCCTGGTTTCCTCTCACATTTTCAAAATTTTCTTGCACTTTCCAATTTTTTAGAACTTGTCTTTTGAAATTTTTATTTTATTTTTTTTATGTTTGGTTGCTTCAGTTTCTCTATTAATTTGTTTGCTTGCTCAGATATTGGAAGAAAAAAGAAAAAGAAAAAAAAAAGAAAAGAAAATGTGATTTTGAATTTAAAAATTTCAAGCACTTTCGTTAGGCTTCTGATCCAGCCCCACTGCATAAGCTTATGCACTACCAAACTCTAAACACAACTTTTTTTCTTCTTTTCTCTTCTTTTTGAAAAAGGAAAGGGGAGAGGGGATATATCGTGCTTCCTCTGGTTTCCTCTCACATTTTCAAAATTTTCTTGCACTTTCCAAGTGCAAGTGAGTTTTCTTTGTTAGGGAGTGATTCTTAAAGCAAAAGCCTTTCAACTCAAATGACATTGTATGATCCGTTTCTTCTTTTAACCAGAACCAGATGGATTTCTGATGATTAACCAATGAGCATTTGGAACAAAAGTAACATATATATATATATATATATATTGGTTGGCCATGAAGTGGTTTTGATATTTTGTTAAATTCTTGATTTATGCCACAACATCACCATGGGTTTCCTATTGGGTTTTGTAAGCTGAAGTGGGAGATCAAGTCCAGAGTCATATATAAAAATGTATAGAATAAATTATTATATATGTGATAAAATTATGTGGTATGATATATATATATATATATATATATCAGCAATGCTAGGTATCATGAAAATTTTTTCATGAAAATAATCATGAAAGGTTTGTGACCCTTGGATTACACTTAGAATAAAGTACCACACACTAATCAAGATAATCCAAAGATCATAAAAGTTTCATGATCATTTTCATGAAATTTTTTTCATGATCCCTAACTTTTCTCTATATATATATATTGGTTGGCCATGAAGTGGTTTTGACATTTTGTTAAATTCTTGATTTATGCCACAACATCACCATGGGTTTCCTATTGGGTTTTGCAAGCTGAAGTGGGAGATCAAGTCCAGAGTCATATTATTTTCTGCATGGTGTTTTAGTTTTCTCTGGTTTGATAATGATTGGGTATTTATTGATTTTGAGGTTTTTTTTTTTATCAATTTTCTCTAGTTGAGTCACAAAATAATTTTTCCTGGTTTGATCAAAACACAGAGAAAATTATAAACAAACCAGAGAATTTGGGAAAGATAAGGAATGAAGTTGGAAGAAAAGAGACAGAGAACTGCCACTTAACACTCTCGTGTGTGTAATTTTCTCTGTGATGTTCAATTTTCTCTGGATTTCTTTGGTTTAAACTTGGAGAAATTTCAATTTTTTCTAGTTTGAACCTAAAGAAATTCTTTGGGAAGTCCAAAATTTCTCTGGAAAGTTCAGAGAAATTCTCTGGATTGAAATTTCAGAGAATTTCTCTGGATCGATGTTGAGGGACCTAGACATTATAAAAATATTAGATGCCCTTTATGTTATAAAATCTTAATATCATAGACCTTAAATTTTTTTTTTGTTTTTTTAATATTAATGTTTAATATTTTTGTATTTTTTATTAAGTAAAAGTCATAATTTTATTTATTTTATATAAAAATAATTTAATAATCCCAATTATTATCAAAACAAACACAATTTTACGAATTCCCTTACTAACAATCTCCGTTATTCTACTACTGAAAACAAACGGTCCCAAAGTTTTTGGCCAGACTATCAATCCCAACAACTAAGACCCATCATAATCTAGAGGACTTATGAATCCCCTCTCCAAATTTACAAACAAATACAATATTAATGGCCCCACTTTCATCTTAATCCAATCCCTTTCTCTATCCTAACACAAACGGGGCCTCTAAACCTAATTGCAAATGAAATAAAACAGAAACAAAAATTCTACGTACCATTTTGGGGTGCAAGCTCTTGATCCTATCCGATCTAGTAAAATACAGAGAGAGAAAATAACCCAACCCCTCAAAGAAACTTCTAAGACTGAAAGAACGAACAAGAGGGGAGGAGTCGCGACGAAGAGTAGGTAGTACCAAGAGATGATGAATCAGATGCGAAAGAAAGGAGAAATTATTCAATGCTCCAAAAACGTTGCCCTATTCCATTTATATATTTACACTTAATATTTTATTCTTAAAATTATAACACAAAAATAATTTACATATTTACACTTAGGAAGTAGATCCCCTTCTGTCCTCGCTGTTTGAACATGTGCAGTTTATTATGGGTCTTATTTTGATAATTTGAATTATTTATTTTATTGGATAATATGCGTATTTTATTCACATAAAAAATTAAGTCGATTCGATAATCGTAACCTATTCAATTTATTACATTTTTCATAAAAAAAAATAAATGATATATTTTTTAAAATATAATTGTTGTCTATTTTTTTTGGTGACAAACTCAATAAATTGAATAGGTTACGATTATCAGATTTACTTACTTTGTCCACAACCAAGCACAAAACAGACAAGTTGAGAGATCTTGAGGCAAGGTGCGTAGCCAAGACCTCCGAGAACTCAAAACGAACACGAGCATGGATGATCATCGAATGTTCAAACGATGACGTCCAAGTCTTGAGGACGGTCAAAAATGGGGTGTGTACAGCAGTCCGAAGGACTACCAATCTGGAACACCATAAACAAAACAAATATGACATATGGTTACTGTTCATCATTGTTAGTCCGCTCCGAACTGCCATAACAGCAAACAAACTGGCCTTGGTATTAGAAAATTAGTTTGTTGGTATTGGGGAGCAATTTACTATTTTACCCATGTTGTTCCCCTAGCTTATCACTTTTGTGGAAGCAACGACAGCAGTAACAGAAAGGCAAGAAGAGAAGTTCTCTCTCTCTCAATTACGGCGTCGGTTGGACGCTTCATCTTCAAATTTTCGATCTTCAGATTCAGCTCAGCATCTGCTGCATCGGTAATTTTTTTTGATAAGCAAGTTATCAATTTATTTGGAATTTTTTTTGTATTTGGGAATGGGATTTGATTTATGAGTTTCTTTACCCCAAAATTTCCATTGTTTTTCCGTGGTTTATGATTTGTAAATGAGTTTCTTTTTTCTCTTCATTATTTTGGGTTTATCATTTGTGATTTGATCCATTTTTTTGGGTTTGAAGCAAGCTAAAACATTTTCTTGAATCAAGTTATCAATTTATTCAGATTTTTCTTTTTAATTACAAGATTTTGTTGATAACATATCCCACGGTGGTTTGCCGACGACCAACACTCGTTATTCGACCATGGTGGTTCTCTCTCTCTCTCTCTAAGCTCTGTTATTATCTGATTTCAATCTCTGTTAAGATTTAGATCGATCCTCTTTTCTGTTACTGAAGTATGGTTGCATAAACTTGTGAGAATTCCTAACTAGTAAAATTAGAAATTACTGGTCGTATTCGAAGTTATGAGCTGCTTATTGAGCATTTTTCTTTTTATATATTGAAAGTTTTGAATTAAACTTCCGTACAATTCCTTTTATTTCACATAATCTTTTAAGATCATAAGGATTTTTTTTTTTTTACAGCATCTCCAATCCTTTCATCATTAAATTTGATGAAAAAGTAGTTAAAAATCATCTTCAATCCTTTCATAATCGAATGTTCATCAAATCAAGAGTCATTTCTTTTTATCAAATTGAGAATTCATCAAATTTGAGTTTGATGAGAATTTAGAAAGATGAATCATTGGAGATGGATTTTTTTCATCAAATTTGATCAAACAGAAAATTGAGGATAAGAGAGTAATTTTCAAAATGATTGAAATAGTTCATGTCAAATCAATTTTTTTACTCAAATTTGGAATTAAATTAGATGAAAAATTTGTTGAAGGATTGAAGATGATTTTTTTTTTTTTTTTTTTTAGTACTTTTTAATTTAAATTTGATGAAAGAAAAGATGAATGAGATATGAGTGAAATTCCTTTTTCTTCATTTGTATTTGAAGGGGCCGTCTTGGTAATGTGGTATTGTAAATCTTTGTATTTGAAGGGGCAATCTTGTGAGTAATAGAATAGGCTTAGAGTTTTTTTTTTTTTGTCTTCCTCACAATTTCTTGTCATTTTTCACCATTTTAGACCCTATCTTATTTTTTTGTTATCATCAAATTATATTGGATGTGTATTTCATCATTCAACGAACTTTTAGTCCATTGAGAGTTGACTAACACTTGGGATGGGGTCTTTTGTTTTACAAGCGCTTTTATTGTTGTGATTTAAAGTATTGGTGAAACGGTCATTCAACCATGTTCAATTTTAATTCCAATTGAAATTACTGAGTGACAGGGGTGTTGTGCAGAATGGATTTGATCAGTGCCCTGCCAGTAGATGGAAGACTTGAAATTCTACAGCGTGTTCCTTTTGTAGAAGCAGCAAGAGCAGACATCTTGTCGAGTACAAGCATTTGGTCTGATCGTCCACAACTTGTGTTTAATAAGTTCTTGTTTGAAGAGCGCGGCAGATGGATTGCACTCGATCTAACTGCATGGGTGGACAAAGTGAACGAAACTATCCGTCGTCACGACGGTCCCATTGGAAACGTTATTCTCCACGTTCCCGACAAACAATTTAAATGGGCCCCGCATATTAACATCTGGGTTTTTTCCCTGTCAAGGAAGAGTATCGAGGGACTCACAGTGGATAATTGCCAAAATGATACATACAAGATCGGTTTTCTCTCTTCTTGCCTAAACTTGACAAGATTGGAGCTCCGTAATTGTATTTTCAACCAATCATCTGGTGTTTTTCGGAATCTCCTTCGCATTTATCTTGAGAAAATAGCATTTGGTTCCGACCAAGTTGGTACTGTTAACCTCGATGCCCCATCGCTGGTGTTTTTAAAGCTTTCTTACTGTGTTGGCTTTAAATATTTGAATGTCCATGCTCCAAATCTCAAAGTCGTTTCTGCCGTCAACGAATATGACGCAATACTTGATGACAAGGATGAATTTTCTTTAAGGGTTAGGCGGACAAAATGCAATGTCCATTGGTTGTTCTGTGGTTGACATGATGTTTATTAAGTATGATGGAACAGGGAATTCTTGTTCCATATTTCACTCGCATTGGATGGGATGCAAAAGCAAGCATGCTGTGGCTTATTGTATAGTGATAAATGTTTTAGATGTTCATGAAATTGTTTAAAGCTCTTTTATTTTGAAGAAAGTCTTGTGTTTGTGTAAGGCACTTCTATGCTGTGATAAAAAGTATTGGTGAAACGGTTATTCAGCCATTCTCTACCCGCGCCTTCTCGTTCAATTTTAATTCCAATCCACATAATGACAGACGTCCCAAATTATATGTTTTGTGTCTCCCAACTTCAAGTCAAAGGACCAGAAGGTGAGCCACCTTGAACTATGGACAAAAACAGAAGTTGGTCTGGATTGGGTTGTGATTGATACGGATTATAGGAGTCATACTAGTTACACATTTTAAAGCTTTCTGCTCATAGGGGTCATACTAGTTACACATACTCTGTTTATTGGTCATTATTAATATGATTTTGGGTTTGTAATATTTATTTTCTCAAAATTTTTCCTCTACTGAAAGCTTTTTGTGAGTATGGCTATCACTTGAGTTTTGTTTGTGGCAACTTGGGTTGTATCGGATTGTGTTGTATTGTGATATATGTTGGAAAAATTTCACTGCAGTGTACACTTTAAAAAAATAAATAAACAAATAGATAAGTGGTAAACTTTATACACATTAATAATTAAAATTATAAATTTTTTCATGAATTTATAGTAATTTTTTTATAGTACAACTAAGGGGTAATTTCCCCATATATGTTTTACATATTTAATGATGGTTTGGATTAAAAAGATGTCACAAAACACAGCTATTTTTAATTTGGGATTAAACTAACACTCTTTAAAAGAAGTTTGTTTATTATTTTTTAGACAATTGTGATTCGATGGGGTGCTTCTTGATATTCAATTTATTTAATTTTGATATTTTTTTTTATTTTCTCAAAGAGTTTAACAAAGTGAACGGTTTGATTTTGAATTATCGATATGGACTCAATAAGTCCATCATAAACCAGACAGGACCATCCAATTTGATTTTTCAGCCAAATAGAATCTAGTTACATTATTGAATTGTTAGGTAAATTATACATACACTCTTGAGATTTACTTAAAATATAGATTGGGTAAATTACACATATACCTCTTGAAATTTACTTAAAATACAGATTGTCCATGTAATTCTGAAAATTATAAATACTCATTTTCAGAATTTTTTATGTAACATAATTAATAGAAAAAAGAAATTTCTAACTAATCTTCTATACAACAACAAATTATCAGAATTGCTTATTGAAATATATTTCTGATATCATTAAAAAATTGTTAATTGATTTGATGATTTATCAATAAAATTGGTCATTTGTTATGCGATTAGAAATTTAAAAGGACGAAATATAATTTTCAAAATCACAGTGATAATCTGTAATTTAAGCAAATTCATTACCGTATTTGTAATTTATCGTTGAATTGTTTAAAGCAGAAGAAGTCGAGATAAGCTCCCTACCATACTTTGTCTCTCCATACCTCTCCATACTTTTCTTCTAGGCCCCAATTCAGACATACACTGATAATCCGAACGGTCTATTTCGTAAGTATCATAATAAAAGTCATCTATACAAAAAATAGTTTCATCAAAAAATTATAAATTTAAGAAAAAATTATATTTTGTTTTATAAAATAAACAATAAATATGATTGTAAATTCGAACCATCTATTTTATAAAATATTTTTTTTTCCTTATATTTATTACAAAACTAATGAGATAAACTATTGGTAGTATCCACACGAGACCAAATTAGTGCCTATACATGGAGGGATGAAGATACAACTATGCTGCAGACCCCCAGTGGGGGTCGCACCCTCAGTGAGGTGGCAAGCCCCCACTGGCTGAAACTCAAAAAAAAAATAAAATAAATAAATCAGTTTTTTTTTTGTCCAATCACGGCGCGCCACGTCACTAGGGATCGACCCCCCGTGGGGGTCCGAAGCATTTTTCGATGAAGATATGAAGGTGGGACCGAAGAAGTCAGGTTAGTCGAATATGATATTCTCTGAGGGAACTACAAGCAGGGAAAAAAAAATTATAAATACATGAAGTACAAATATGTTTGTGGTGAGATGTAAATGAAATGCTGCCCTCCCTCTATGTGTTTTGGTAATTTTTTTTTCCAACTCACACCTACGTCTAGTTCCCAAGTTATTTTCCTTTCCAGCCATTGCGAAAGCTAAGAGAAGGATTTTTTTTTTTTTTTAGCACTTGTTGATTGAAGTATAAGTTTTTGTTTAAAGATTGTTCGTCTTCAAGAAAAGGGTTTGTATTGTATCGCATGAAACACTCTTACCATTTCGCTTCGAGAAAAGGGTTCAATAGAGGTAAACCTGAAACCCCATTTTGCTTCTGCTTAAGTTCTTTCAACTGAAATAGATATGGAATTATAGGGAACAATGAGAAGCTAATATGTAATTCTATTCACAATATGACACCCAAACAAACTTAAAATTTCTTAGTTCAATTTAAATTCAAAACTCCCAAGAGTTACAGAGTTGAAAAGTGAAAAATTTGATAAAAAAGGATTGTTTGTGTGCTTGCAAATTGATGGGTTGGTTTTCATAAGCACTTTTCTGGTTTGTTTTCTGTTGGGTCAATCTCACATCCACTAGGGAGGGACTCTCACTTCCACCTTATAAGCTCACTGCCCCTTCATTTGTCAATAGAGGCCTTTTCTCCCAAGGGGGAAACAAAATCGTGAGGCTCCAGCCAAAGTGGACAATATATTGACAGGGCGCGAGAGGACATATATTGATGGGGCGCGAGAGGACATGAGTTGCGAAATATATTGTCCGCTTTGGCTGGAGCCTCCACCTTATAAGCGCACTACCCCTTCACCTGTCAATAGAGGCTTTTTCTCCCAAGGGGGGAACAAAATCGTGAGGCTCCGGCCAAAGCGGACAATATATTGACAGGGTGCGAGAGAACATATATGGACGGGGCGCGAGAGGACATGAGTTGCGAAATATATTGTCCGCTTTGGCTGGAGCCTCACGGTCTGTCAATATATTGTCCGCTTTGGCCGGAGTCTCACGGTTTTGTTCCTCCTCAGGGAAAAGGCCTATTACTAGGATGAGTGCTAGAATGGCTCAGCCGCCGAGCAATATACTGTCCATTTTGGGGTTGAGGGAGCTGGTCCCTTCCTCGCGGTTTTAAAGGCCTGTTGACAGGTGAAGGGGGCCAGTGCGCTTATAAGGTGGAAGTGGGAGTCCCTCCTTGGTCAATGTGGGATTGACCAAACATAACCCCCTAGTGGACTAGACCGCAACAGTGGGAGACTTTGCCGGACAGCTCTCATTCTAGGGTCAAATTTTGTGATGCCTGTCCTCTCGCTCCTCGTCAATATATTGTGTCCGCCTTGGCTGGAACCTCACGATTTTGTTCCTCCTTTGGGGAAAAGGCCTATTGACAGGAGGAGGGGGCCAGTGCACTTATAATATGGAAGTGGGGGTCCCTCCCTGGTCGATGTGGGATTGACCCAACATTTTCTATCATTACTGATTCAATTCACCATTTTAACTTTCTTTTGTTTTGGGGGGTTTTAAATAGTTTTGGGACATTTGGTTATGATTATTGATTATATGTCCTTTGTCTAAAAGTGTTTTTAATCGGAGCTCCAAAAAAAAAAGTGTTTGTAATTGGTGATCATATCAAATTTTTTTATTAATTATTTCCAGACTTACTCATAGTTTGTGAAATTATATACCTTTTGAAATTTTATGCCCTTTGATTATTGTTTGTATTCTTGATTGCATTAGAAGAAAGATTTTTTTTTTTTTTTTTTGGGGGTATCATGGACCTTAGTGATATGTCAAAAAATTACTTAAAGAGTTAGCTTTCAAAGAAAATTGTTTCATTGAAAAAAGAGTGAGCGGTTTGTAAGAAAATCTGATTTTTGTAACGGTTGATGAATCTGGATAATGCTGGAGTGTTTCTTAAATAACTAAAAATCTAGAAAAGCTATTCATTTCTGAAAAATGTTCTAAAAATAGATAAAATTGTCTACGAACCATAGGAAGGCTATGCTTGGAAAAAATCTGAAATGGTCATTTTGATTTTAATCTTTAAATGGTATCGAATTTGGAAATTTAGTTTTGCATTGGTATTCTAGGCTCTTGTCTTCATGAATATGCTTATTAGTACATAATCATGTCTTGGTATGATATCTCATGTGTTATGGTTATGTTCCTTATCTTCTTCATTTGATGATGCTCATGCTTAGTAGATATTATCTAACTCAACAGGATCCTAATTGGGGTGGTATTGGGTTTTCGATCACTTGAATAATGAAGAGATAATAATGTGTTATGTATGGATTGATGGGATGTGCTCCCTAATTAAAGGTTATGTCTTGCGCAAGCAGTTATCTCGTAAACCCTAGAATGGAACAGATGTATTTTGACTCTTGCGATGATTTGATTTAGTGAGATAAGGTTGGGTCCAGATGGGACATTTAGGAGGATAAAACTTTTTTTTCAGAAAAATAAGGTTGGATTCGGGATGATAAAACCTTTTTCTTTTTGCTGTCCCTTTTGAGGTCTGCTGATGGCGCTGTGCGGTATGTACCTATTGGCTTTTTTTCACTTTTGAAAGTTAGAAATGTAATTAAAGCGTGTCAACAAGGATCAGTATGTCCTTACAACAATGGTAAATGCTAACCAATTATTCAGACGATTGCTTCGAAGTTCTTTTAAGCTTCAATGAAGAGGACTTTTATTGGTGGCTTGTTTTTAGGAGAAAATTCAGAAGGCTGTTCACAAAAAGAAAAGAAAAGGGGAAGAAACAGTTGCAGAAATCAAAATTCATAAAATAACCAAGAGTTAACAATTTGTACCTTCGCACTCTCACAGCTTCGAAGGGGATTACAACAATAGACTATCTTAGAACTACTCCTAGGAATTGGAAGTGCAAAACAAGAAATAAATGATTGAAAATAAAGGACTGGAAATGTAAAAGAAAGGAAAATATGAAGCAAATTAAACTGGCTTTTGGATATGGTTCTGAGGCCTTTTATTATCGGCATTCTTCTCTATTTATAGTCTCTGATGATAACCGTCAATGTGGCTGATAACCATCGAAATAGATAACTTGTCGAAGTAATCTCCATGATCACTGGTCATGGCTTTGAACAGTTCGCTTCCATTATACCACTTTTGCAGTTGGGCTTCCCTCTTGAATTTGAATTTAAATTGTAGGAAACCATTTGGGCACGTCACCTTGTGTATCTTGACTATTGTCATGCCTCAAAGGTCCATCGCCATTGATACAAGTTTCCACGTGTCTGTTGGTGACTAGAGACCTTCACAGATTTTCTAAAATTACCCCTTATGAACCACGTGCCAGGCTGTGATTGGTTTGTATAAAAAATATACTGCCAAACATAACCATTGCAGGCATCCATGGTAAGGTCCACAAAGCCAGCAAAATGGGAGAGTTCCGAATAGT